ACACGCACGCACGCGCACATACACAGAAGACACACTCACACATCTCACACAGCACACCCAACACACGCAAAGCACACACACAAATGACGCGCACACACAGGCACACACACACACGCAAAACACACACGCACGACACACGTAACACGCCGAACAGCAACATAATCAACACACAATGTTTGTGCAGCGAGGGCTTCTGAGAGCTGTTTGCGCACACGTGCAGGACATTCTCCGACAACAAGTTCGGAGGCGGATGCGGCCCATGGATCATGACCTCGCCTGTCCTCTCCCGACACAGGCCGTTCGGCAAGTGAGAGAAGGCCCGCGCCAGCCTGAGGAGTGACCTCCGCGTGATACGTAGACTAACCGTGGGCGAACACGGATGCTCCTCCTCCTCCTCCTCCTTCTCCTCCTCCTCCTCCTCCTTTTCCTCCTCCTCCTCCTCCTCCTCCCCCTCCTCCTCCCCCTCCTCCTCCTCCTCCTTCTCCTCCTCCTCCTCTTCCTCCTCCCTTGCGCGTGACATGTAGGCCAACCGTGGGCGAACACGGATGCAAGCGATGTGAAGCTCAACCAACTGGGCACGAGGAGGGCACGAACAACAATCCGAAGCAATCCCTGGACCAAGGGTCCGTGCTCTGCCACGGGTCTCCGTGCTCTGCCACGGGGCGAACATGTCTTGAGCCCAGATGGCTACGGACGGGCAGCTTGCAGCAGGACAGAAAAGCGGCGGGCCAGCAGCACGGGGCAGGAGGATTAGCATTTCCCTTGTTGATGCCATGACAATGGGCACCCTAACGATCCGATCGTTGAATTAAGCATGTGCCAAACATGTATTAAAATGCTCCAACCATGTTTGAAACACATGTGTTACATGTTTGGGACATGTTTGAAGTATTATTTTAAACATATGGGAATGATTTGGCAACATCCAAAGCCGCGCTGACAGGGTGTTTGGTTAACGGTGCGATTGGGAATCTAGTTTTTGTGACACCGAGCTCACGCAGAACAACATGTAGGAAATGCCGAAACACCGTTTCCTACATGTCAAATATGCGAATGTACCGAACGGCAGCGACACAACGAGTTGTATGAAGACACGAAACACGTGTTCCTACAATCGGTTCGGCCACGAACCACGCCTTCCCACCATCGGTTTTCCTACTTCGCCGTCAGCTAGCATACCCACCGTTAGCGCGTCTACGGAACATGCTCCCTCTACATTGATCGTCGTCCACAACACTTCCCTCGAGGCACTGGGGCCACCGCCAGGATCTGCCAGGGTCGCCGGCGGCATGACGGGCCGTGTCAGGACCCCGAGGTTCGACGTCACGAAAACAGTGCAACACCGTACCGTCGGGGCGTTGATCAAAGGAACCCTAAATAAGGAACGATGCCATAAGCTATTCTTCGACTTCCCATGGAGAACCTCAGGACAACCTTAGGCAAGCTGTGAAACAATCAAAGGACACCGAGCCCCTCCCCAGCGAAAAGGGCTGCTTATTCAGCGCCCCGACTGCAAAACAACAACTCGACAATAACCCGATTTTTCTGCTGCAACTTTCGAGCCGGATCGATCTGTGATGGCCCCAGGGCCCAAAGCAAGGCAAAAACGCAACGTGGCGACACCAGGATCTCAGGGGAGGAGGGGAGGAGGAGGAGGACGGGGAGGAGGAGGAAGAGGAGGAGGAGGAGGAGGAGGAGGAGGAGGAGGAGGAGGAGGAGGAGGTCGGACGTGGCATTAGCGCGGTCGTGCCTTCGCAGGCGACGCACACCGCGTGCGCGAGGGAGGGGAGCTCTTGTCCAGTGTATCTGCCGCCCTCCCCAAAGGCCAGGCCTTGAGCTCCCAGGCGGCCCACAGCAACGACCCCTCCCTCCCGCCTCCTCCCTCCCTCCTCCTAAGTCGAGGAGGACGAGGAGGAGGAGGAGGAGGACGAGGAGGAGGAGGAGGAGGAGGAGGAGGAGGAGGAGGAGGAGGAGGAGGAGGAGAGAGGGAGGGAGGGAGGGAGGGGAGGAGGGGGAAAGGGAGGGAAGGCAAGCACTGGACCACTGGACACTGTTGGGTGGCGACGTCCAACCCGTGCCCCCACCGGCCATCGATTCTCCAGAATCGATGGGAGGCGGGGGTGGGCATCGGACTTCGCAGCGCGCCCGACGACTTCTGCACCCTACCCCCGCCGCCCATCGAGTTGCTTGAACCGCTCCTCCTCCTCCTCCTCCTCCTCCTCCTCCTCCATTTCGCCACTGATCTTTTTTACTGACGACGGGGTGCTTTCGTCCGTGCGCCAACGGCGCCCACGCGGAGCGCGTCGCCAGCGCGCGCGCCGGTGCGGCTCAGCAGGCACGCGGCCCGGCCCCGTCGGCGCCGGCCCGCTCATGAGGTGTCTGTTGCGCAGGAGGGGCGCGCAATCTCTGAGGGCTTCACGACTTTTCGCCACTCGGGGGACGTAAGGGTGGGGTATGGGGGCATGAGGTGGGGTTAGAAAGAGCACGCGAACATCGCTCTAAACGGCCCCTGGAACAAGAAGGTGAAAACATCCAGTCGGGTCCGGTCCCTAAGTCCACCTGGGGGTAGCCCACGTGTGCGAATCCACAGGCCAATCGACTTGTGGAGATCAAGCTGGATAATCAAGGTAACTGCTGATCAATTAAACAAATCTACGTAAATCCTGGCAAATCCAAATCAATACAGGTAAATCCAAGGATTCCGTTGGCATTTGGAGCAATTCGTGGCCGCTCATGCGCGAGTCGAGGGACAGCAGAAGTCATTAGCCCTTAGCGATCCGCGACTCTATGAGCGCAGCGGTGTCCCAAACCTGCTTCGAACCTCCGTCCGAAGAGACAAACCCGAAAGTCAAGCCCACGCAAGGCAAAAAACTATCCGAGGAAACCGGATATCTTTAGGGTTAAGTCGGGCGTGTCCCCCTACAGGGGGATTTTCGACGAAACATAAAACACAGTCCCCACATCGTCAACAAAAGAACCACAGATCGTTCCCAGCCTATGTTTTTTAAACCATTTTTGAACATCCCCCCTGTAGAGGGACAGGCCCGACTTAACTTTAGGGTCCGTGCCCTGCGGCGCCGATTCGAATGACGGCGCGCTCGCGGCGCGCGCGCTCGCCTCGGCGAGCCGCCGCTCTGCCGCCGGCCGCACCTTGAAAGACGGTGCAGGCGGCGGGCGGCCTCGGGCCCGGGGAAGCCCGCGGCGGGGGGGGCGGGAGGAGGGGAACGGGCGGGGGGGGGGGACGAGGGGGCGGTTGCGAGAGTGAGGGCGATGCTCAGGGAGGAACGGGACGAGGAGGGAAGGACGACGGAACACGAGGATCGGGAGGACGGCGACGAGGGGGACGAGGGGGCGGTTGCGAGAGTGAGGGCGATGCTCAGGGAGGAACGGGACGAGGAGGGAAGGACGACGGAACACAAGGATCGGGAGGACGGCGACGAGGGGGACGGGGAGGCGGTTGCGAGAGTGAGGTCGATGCTCAGGGAGGAACGGGACGAGGAGGGACGGACGACGGAACACAAGGATCAGGTCGGGCATGTCCTCCTGCAGGAGCATTTGGGACGAAACATGAAACATACTTGACAAATACTCCCAACTAGCCAAACTATGTGCAGAACATCCTCCCCATACGACTTTTCACTATTTCTGAATGTTCCTCCTGTAGAGGGACAGGCCCGACTTAACACAAGGATCGGGAGGACGGCGACGGGGAGGATATCTTGTTGGGGGGGGGAACGGCGACGAGGAGGATGGGGGAAGAGTCGGAGGAACACGGCAGCTGGGCGCGTACAGCGGAGCGGGGCGCGCGGGTGCCTAGCGAAGCCGTCAGACTCTGGCCGATCATGGTCAGAGTTTAGAATTCGACTGCATGCGAGGATGAGGATGGGGAGATGGGGAGGCTGTTCAGAAGAGGAATCGGCAAAGACATCGTTACCCTTCTCTCCTTTTCGCCTACGCGCAGGCGGAGATGAACATCAGGGGAAGGAGGAGTTCCCCCGCGTCCTTCCTCCTGAAAGAAAAGAGGGGGGAGAAGAGGGGGAGGAGGGGGAAGAGGGGGAAGGAGGGGAAAAGAAAGAGGGGCAAGGAGGGAGGGAGGAGGGGGAAGAGGGGGGAAGGAGGAGCAGCAACACTATAAACGAAAAACTCCAGAGTCCCCAGGAACTGCAGGGATTCATAGAGCAAGCTCCGTAAAACCCCCAACAACCTCCATCTCCTCCTCCTCCTCCTCCTCCTCCTCCTTCTCCTCCCTCCTCACTCATTCTCTAAGGGAAGAGGAGAAGGCGGAAGAGGAGGAGGAGGAGGAGGAGGAGGAGGAGGAGGAGGTGAATGAGGGAGGAAGAAGAGGATGGCGATGATGTTGTCGGTCTGGGGCTCCGCATAAGACCATCCGAGGATGACCTTCAGGACGCGGAGGAGGCTGAGGACAAGGGAGAGGAGAAGGATGATAAACATAATGAGATGAACGAAGAGAAACATGCCCTCGAACATATCAAATATAATCCGACCATCCTGCGAAATCGTACGGCCACCGCCGAGCAGCATCCGAAAGCCTTCCATCTCATAATTCTCCGATGCGGGTGCCACTCCCCTCTCTCCACAGACCCTGTGCCAGCGATGCCCTCTGCCCTCGCGCATGCTGCCTTGTACCTCGCAAGATTCCAAGCGCTTTCCCGCTGCAGCGCTGGCCTCTTCTCGGGATCGGCGCATTGCTCCCATCGTCCAGAACGGCGCTCTTTCGCCCCAGCGCGTGCCGCTTTTCTGGATCCGAACCCTTCCTCGTCTTTGTCGACCCCTCTCTTCCCCTCCTCCGCCTTCCCCTGGGCCTCCTGCTTCCTTCCGTCCCGTCCCGTCCCGTCCTTCCTCGTCCTCCTCCTCCTCCTCCTCCTCCTCCTCCTCCTCCTCCTCCTCCTCCCCCTCCCCCTCCTGCCCCTCCTCCTCCTCCTCCTCCTCCTCCTCCTCCTTCTCCTTCCTATCCTCCTCCTTCTACTCTTGCTCCCCATGCCGATGGCTTTCCGCAGCCCCGAGGATACTGTTTGTGCAGGACGCATGGGGCGCCGGTGAGGGCGTGCGCATGGCGCACGCCCGACGAGCACCTATACACAATCACCCCCAGGGTCAGGAAGCCGGGGCGACACTGGCACCCCACCGGGACGGTACGGGGATGCGTCCCCGGAGCACTGGCCCCACGGGGATCAGGGGGGGTCGTGCGGGCTGTTCCCGGTGGCCCCTGAGAGGCCCCCCCGAACGGGGCTCACCGCCCCGCGCGCGAGCCTGCGGCGGCCCCCAGCGCCGCGGAAGCGCCTGCCAGCCAGGGGCGCGCGCTGCCCCCCTGTCCCAGCGGGAGCCCCCAACTTGGACGGCCCGGGGATGCGTCCCCGGAGCGCAGGCCCCAATGGGGGCTCGCTCGGGCTGTTCCCCTATGGCCCCCGAGAGAGCCCCCGAATTCGGCTCACCGCCCCGCGCGCGAGCCTGCGGCGGCCCCCAGCGCCGCCGCGGCGCCTGCGAGCCAGGGGCGCTGCCTCTCTGTCCCAACGGGACCCCCGGCAAGGACTCCGGACGAAGCTGCAACCCTGTAGGCGCCAGGCGAGGCTGACCTGCAGAAGGTCATCAGGCTCGAGCTCACATGCTCGACTGCGGTCAAAGAGTCCGTCGCACTGGCCAACCACGCAGGGCTGAAGCCCAGGTCCCTGAGATCCGATGTCGTGATCTTTTCAATGCGGGCTCCCCGGAAGTCTCGACCCATTCCCCAGGGCCAGTTTTTCATCCTGACTAGTTTTTGGACGGTCCTGAGGCCTGGTACCGGCCCCTAGAGGCCGAAAACTGCTAAAAACCTACGTCATGAATGTTTGAATACGTTGGATCTCTGGGGTTAATTCGAGCACCAGAAAAGCACGCCGTCGCTGGTGACTCCGCCGCCCGCAATCTCGGCATCGACTCTGCTGTGGGCAACCTTGGTAGGTATAGAGCCAACCGCCCTGTCCTCAAAGGCCGGATGGCCAAGCCTCGCGGCCGCAACCTCAAGCTCATGGCTGTCCGAGAGCAGGCGCGAACCTTCGGACAGATCATAAACAGATCTGGAAACATTCGGCATGTATGCAATTGATCGTGCCGAACTGCGGTCGGTCCAAACTCTGTTCTTGAAGCTGGTCGGTGCCCGTGGCGACTCCTGATCGCGGCTAGTATCCTTGGCGGTCCACGAGGATCCCACCTTGAGACAAGGGTTGACCCCAGCCGTTGTTGGTCCAAGATCGCCTGGAAAGCGGGCATCGACCATTCCGCCTCTACAGTCAACCCGCAGAGTAAGGATGCGTGATAAGGATGCAAGGGCCTTGGAAGCCCATTTCGAAGCTTTTCGAGCGGGGCGCGGCCAACGAGTGGTCAAGGATAGACCGAAGAGGCAAGGATGCGAGGGTACCCTTGGGAAGGTGGCCCATCCTTACTCTGCGGGTTGACTGTAACCGCTACCCCTTGCCCCGCCTGGGGGCGGTGTCCCCGAGGGACCTCCCTGTCCCCGCTCTGCCTGGGGCCTGCTTTCGGCCCCAGCCCCTCGAGAACTCGTCGGGGCGCCTCCGACGCCCGCGCATTGCAGGACGCGCGGGCGCCACGGGGGGGCGAGAGGGAGTTGGGCTGAGCCCTCCCGGGACCAGGCCACCTGCAGGAGCGAGAAGCCAGGGCGGCTGCTCGGGCACTCAGGAACGCCCATCTACTCGGGGCTTCTCGTGGCATGGCCGAGACCTCATGGGGCTTCTCATGGCATCTGGGTTCGGCCATCCCAGATACTTTCGGGGTGTGGCCCGTTGTCGTCCAACTACTATTTTTGTGGTAGCGGGCTCTCCCGTACGCTGCCCAACAATCTCCAGTGTTTCGCCGATGACCGCTTCATCTCTAAAGCTGGTTTAGGTACCCTTTTTAAGCTTAGAGCGAGCTTGGTAAGACACTTCCTCCTGCTCGTCCGCATGCTCATTACCCTGCTCATCCGCCACATCTGCATCCTCCTCCACCTCCTCCACTGTACACAGCTCCCTCTTCTGCTTGTGCGTAACACGATGGGCTTCGGGGGGTTCCAGGTCCGCTAGGACAAACCTCGGTTATGGACCTTTTCAAGGCGTTTGACCGGATCGTCAGGGAGGTCACTCTGGGATTGCCGGCCGGGGCCGAGGACCCTCGCGAGTGCCTCGCCTCCCTTGGGCTTCAGCCACACCAGGCGGATTGGATTGCCAGGTTTGTAGCTGTGCATGGCTGCCTCTTCGAGCAGTGCCCCCCCCAAGGTTGCGCGCCTGCCGAAGAACATGCACGCGCAGTCTTGGCTCAGCTGCGGGGAGGTGGCCGAGGCCGTGGCGACCCGGGCTGGGGGGAGGCAGGGGTGATGGGCCTGTCTTCCACCACCACCACCAAACGTGGGAGGGGGAGGGGGTCCTCCTCCTCCTCCTCCTCCTCCTCCTCCTCCTCCTCCTCCTCCTCCTCCTCCTCCTCCTCCCCCTCCCACTTATGGTGGGGTGCAAATACGGAGCTTGCACCTTTCATTCCGCGTCTCGCGTCGCATTGCACATGTGGTCTTCGATGTGCTCCTGGAGGCTGGGCTGGTGCTGTCGCTGGCCAGCGGCTCCCTGCCACCGGGGGGCGCAAGCGGCCCCCGGTGCAGGCGGCGAGCACAGGCGCCAGCCTGTTCCTGGCTGCAGCCTTCGTGGATGTCTACCGCCCTGCTCCCGCCTACTCGGTCCCTATAATGAGGGATGGAAAAGACGACCCTACCCTGGGTCAGCGCGTGATCTGCAAACCTCCTGGGAACTCTCAAAGCCTAGACAGCCGCCAGGGCGCCGAACATCACGCAAGGTTGACCCTGTTAGCAGACAGGAGGTTCAGCGCACTGGACTCAGCCATAGACGTGCTCTTGCGTACATCCATCGGAGCCCTGGGAGGACGGAGGCGCTCCTCCAATGCAAGGGCGATGGTGCCGCTGCGCGCCTGAGAACCCGCAAACAGAGCCCCGCCGCCTCGGCCTCTCCGGTAGTCCCGGTTCCTGGCTCGTCTGATGTGCTTCGCACTGTTACTGAGGGGCAACGAAGGGGGGGATAGGCATAGGGGGGGAACATCGACCTGGAATCGGCGATATATCGCCAATAGATCGGCTATTGGCCCCCGATGGTGAATCCGCACGTTAGTGGGAAGGTTGGGGCTATCGGGCCCTTATCGGCGATCAGTGGCCGATTGGGGGTCGATGCATCCTCCCCTATGCCTATCCCCCCTATCGTTGCGCCTGAGTTACGGAGTACAAACACCTTGGAGGTGCAAATTCCCTCTCCGGCTCGATCGTTCCGCTCGCGCACGGTCGCCGGAAACGAGCTCTGGCTGCGTGTGCGCCGCTGGCGGTCAAAGCCTTTGGGTCCTCGCATATGTCGCTGGACATTCGGCGCTGGATGTTCCAGACACTGGTTCTGTCCAGGCTGTTGTATAATATCCACGTTGTTGTAACCACCAAACACTTTATCACGATCTTGAACTATGTGTACATGCGCGGCATGCGGCGCCTGCACGAAGCCATGCGTACCGGTGGCCCCTGTGAGAGCAACATCGAATTTCGCCATCGAGTCTGGGTGCCATCTGTAGACTGCGTGCTCATGCGCGAACGTCTTCCGTACGTTGCACGTATGCTGTGGGCGCAGCTCCCAGCCTTGTCAGCGCCTCGTCGGCAACGACCTCGCGAGATCCGATCGAGATGGCTCCGCCTGATCTGTGATGATATGAGGTGCATGCAGAATCTTGTCGCCGGGTGTGGCCCGCTGCCCGATCCCGAGTTGGGCCCAGCAGCGTGGGCCGAGTTCATCCTCTCAGACCAGCTGAGATGGAAGCAATGCGTGGCGCTTGTGCACTTCACCGATTCGATTTGCGACGTTCGGGCCGCCAGCCTGGACGATGATGCTGCGAGCTGGTGGTTTCGATGCGATGCTTGCGGCGTGGCTTCCCACACCCGCAAGCAGCTCGCGCAGCACTGGAGGATCAAGCACGGTGAGAAGTGCCTTCAGAGATTTTACGCTGCTGCGAGCGGTGGCTGCCCAGTCTGCAAGAGTGTCTTTTGGGACTCGCCTTGCCCTGCTCGTCCACCTCTGCGACTCCCGCACGCAGAGGTGCTGGGCGGAGATCTGCCAACATCCCAACCGGTTTGTACAGATTCCGGCTGAGAGAGTTGCAGTTCTCGACGCTCTCGACAGAGAAGCTCGCATAGGAGCCCGTCGTCGAGGGCACTCGCACGCGTTGGCCCTCCCCCTCTGGGGGGACAAGCTCTGAAAGTGCGCTCTGACCAGACTCCCGAGGCTAACCCGGCCGTGACGAAGAGGGAAGGGCAGCTCGACAAACGGAAATGAAGGGGCCCTGGGACATACTAATAGATACACACAAATAAAAGGTTTCCACACATTTTCTCATATTTTCTCTGATGTTGTCTTCCCCACCACTTCCCATATTTTCCTATATTTCCTGGGGAATGGAGGACTCATGGTGTCTGTGTGTTTCTTGCCCTCCCGAGTGAACGTGATACATCTAATGTTTCTCGGAGCTCCGCGCGGAGCTCCGAGAACTTATGTTCGTGCCGTCCTCCCTCAAGCAACGCCATCTGCCTTGCCAAGGAATGCGCTGGGCCCGGCGAAGGCTCTCCACGATGCCGCCCGTGGCCGCCCCGTGCGCCGGGTGGGTCCGGCAAGGTGTCGCCAGAGGAGGAGGAGGAGGAGGAGGAGGAGGAGGAGGAGGAGGAGGAGGAGGAGGAGGAGGAGGAGGAGGAGGAGGACCTCGACCTTGCACCACAAGATAGCCTGCACCAGGATTGAGCAGGGACCGACCGTCCAAGCATTCCTTTAGTCCTGCCACGGCATGCTCTCAGAACCCGTGAGTGCTCCAAGAACAGAAGCCATATTCTCAGAACGGTAACCCGATGTGTGAAAGCAAGACAGCCCCAACCAGAAATGTTCTAAGAGCATGTCGTGGGAACCACAAGAGGCTCTCAGAACATGGTTTGGCAGGGCTGTAGGCGAGCCAGGACGCTTCGCCACCGCTTGACAGGAAGCTCGCACGTCCACATTGCAGACAATTTACTGCTTGGGGTCCACGCCAGCCAAACTTTGCTCTTCGAATAGGGGTATCCATATCTTTTCCTCTTCTAGTCCTCCTCCTGCTCGACCAGGGGGGGGGGCGGGGGGTCGGCACGAACGACATGCACGCCGTCGACCGTTAAACAACAAGGGCAGCTCCCCGTCAGCACTCCTCCGGCGGTGGCTCCACCATCGGCTCGTCCTCCACCTGCGCTGCCCCGCGCCGAACCCTGCCTCCTCCTCCCCCCCCCCTTCGGTTCTCCTCATCATTCTCCTGAATATCCTCCCTTCTCCTCCTCCTGCTCCTTCTTCTCCTCCTCCTCCTCCTCCTCCTCCTCTTCCTGTTTCCTCCTCCTCCTCCTCCTCCTGCTGCTTCCTCCTCCTCCTCTCCTCCTCCTCCTCCTCCTCCTCTTCCTCCTCCTCCTCCTCCTCTGCCTCCTCCTGCTCCTCCTCCTGCTCCTCCTCCTCCTCCTCCTTCTCCTCTCGTCCTCCTCTTCCTCCTCCTCCTCCGCCTCCTGCCCACCTCCCCCTGCTCCTCCCCGCTCACCCCGCCCTTCCTCGTCAATGCCCCCTCCATCCCTCTGAGTTCCCTGCTCGTCCCTCCTGCTGCTCCTTCTCCTCATCTTCCTCCTCCTCCTCTTCTTGTTTTACTTCATCTTCTTCTTCTTCCTCCTCATCCTCCTCCCCCCCCTCCTCTCCTCCCTCCAGACTCCTGCACTCCATGTTCGTGCATCTTTCTCCAAGTTTTCCTCATCATCCACCGCGGTCCATGTTCCTGATAATTCGTTCCTCCCTGTCGTAACCCCAGACGTGTCGTTAGGGTGGGCCGGGCATCTTGCCTGAGAGACTCGCACAATCTATGATCGTGGAACTGGAATTTGCAACAATTTCATGAATGATGGGCGGGTGGTTCTCAAATTTGGCAGTCACCGTACCGTGGCGCACATTCGCTTTAAACGTGTGAGGTAAGTTCAAAGATTCGTCCCGTTGACGTCCGAGGGCTTCTGTTCTAACACGACCTCGGATTGCCAGGACGCAACAAGCACGTTGCTTCGCGGTGCGGAAGTCCCAGGAGTGGCTTTCTGGCACGATTTTGGATTGTCTGGACGCAACTGTCGCTCCGATGCGGGACATAAAACTCCACGGAACAAGGTTTTGGCACGATTGATGATTACGCATCGGTTGCTTTCGAAATTGCCCCCTCCCACGATGAAAATAGTTGCTTGTATAGCGATGACAAGAAAAGTGGATGCGGACATTCATTGCAACATCGTTGATGCGTCTTGGATTTACACCGGTCATCAACATCCTCATCCCCGCCTCCTGGCCCGCAGCGTCCTGTATCTCTCCTCAACCTGTTCGTTGACAGCGGGCAAGCGAGCGCGAAGACATGGACGAACATATGCAAGTGATACTCGAGATTGGTGGTGATGGTGTTGGTGCTGGTGATTGATTTTGCTTTTCCAGGAAGATGATGGCGTTGGTGCCGGGCTCTGGTGCGAATATTTTGGATGCCCGCCACGGGTGCGGGAAACATCGGTACGATGCCTGGCAACAAGTGCCGTCCAAAACCGACAGAGCGGCCGTTGGGCAGGCGGCCTCCTGCCTCAGGTGGGCGGCGTCCGCGGCAACGCCGACAGCGAACCCGGTCCAGAATGGACAGAATGTGCGGCCGCCCTTCGCGCGTGCATGTTCTTTCCGTACCCTCCTCGATTGCACAGCAACCTTGCTGCCCCTCCCCCGCTTGCGCCTGCGCCGGGCTCTGCTTGGTCAGGAGGTGGCAGGTGCCGGCCTTGCACACCAGGTCGCACATGGCCATGACGTGTATCGCCGTCTGCTCGGACGTGTAGCCCAGCCCGACGAAGGTCTGCGCCCAGAGGGCCGACAGCCCGCAGAACACGAACAGGTCCGAGATCATCCGGATCCTCTTGCCGGACTCCAGCCCCTGGAGCTGCACCTGGAGGAACAACCAAGTGCAGAAACACGAAAGCTGTCGTAAGTCCGCGCGGATTTCTTGGATTGGCGCTGGACCCTCCTGGCGGCGCCTCTGGCGCCGCCCATGGCGCGCTTCGCGAGCAAAGGACGGGGGCCCAGCGCCGATCCCAGGAACCCGAACGGACCTCCAAAGCTTCTGTTAATTTGGTGTGTTGCTCTTCGAGGACCGCTAGCATACCAAAGCTGGACCAGCTCACGAGGCGGCACCACTGGCCGTATGGGCTGACCACGGCCGTGCCAATGGCGGCGGCCGTCTTCATCGTGGCGAGAGCCATGGCTGGGGCCGCGGAGGACAGGTCGGACCCCGCTTTCCAGTAGAGCGTCGCGAGCTGCAAGGGGACCACAATGAGGTCCTGGAGGATTGGCCACACCAAGCTGGGGTGGAGGAACCACTCCTGGGGCAGGGGGATCACGAGGGGCCCGGCAACGGCCATCGCGAGGTAGAACGCCGCGGAGGTCGCCAGTAAGAGCTCGGCAGAGATGTAGGCGTTCGGGTTGCCCTCGCGAGCTCTGTGGTGGATGTGCAGGGCGGAGGCCACAAAGATCCCAGAGGTCGCCAGGAACATCGACCTCATTGCCACGATGGAAAAAGGTTCTGAGAAAAGGGGCTCTGGACCCTGGGACATGCCCGGAACACATCTCGGAAGCCTCACGAAGCGCGCGCATGGCTGTTCAAGGCCCTAATGCAGCCCCACAATGTCCAAGACTCCTCTCCCTAAGATCCGACGCTGCGAAAAAAATATCGTGGCGATGGACCCAACCATATGCAATTGTGAGTATCGCAGTTGTGAATATCTTCTTCGGTGGCGCTCCCTATAGGGCCACGAAACGTGTGAGGGGTGTGCAGAAATGGGTGTGCGGGACGCATGCGGGCACACCCACTGGGACCTTCGGTGAAGCTCCCAATGGGGCCACGAAACGTGTGAGGGGTGTGCCGAAATGGGTGTGCGGGACGCATGCGGGCACACCCACTGGGACCTTCGGTGGAGCCCCCTACGGGGCCACGAAACGTGCGAGGGGTGTGCCGAATCGGGCGTGCGGGACGCATGCGGGCACACCCAGTGGGGCCTTCGGTGGAGCTCCCTATGGGACCACGAAACGTGTGAGGGGTCACGAAACGCGTGAGGGGTGTGCCGAAATGGGTGTGCGGGACGCATGCGGGCACACCCACTGGGCCTTCGGCGGAGCTCCCTATGGGGCCACGAAACGTGTGAGGGGTGTGCCCAAATTGTGTGTGCGTGACGCATGCGGGCGGCAGCACTGGGGCCTTCGGTGGAGCTCCCTATGGGGCCACGAAACGTGTGAGGGGTGTGCCGAAATGATTGTGCGTGACGCATGCGGGCACACACACCGGGACCTTCGGTGGAGCTCCCTTTGGGGCCACGACACGTGTGAGGGGTGTGCCGAACTGGGTGTGCGTGACGCATGCGGGCGGCAGCACTGGGGCCTTCGGCGGAGCTCCCTATGGGGCCACGAAACGTGTGAGGGGTGTGCCGAATTGGGCGTGCGTGACGCATGCGGGCGGCAGCACTGGGGCCTTCGGCGGAGCTCCCTATGGGGCCACGAAACGTGTGAGGGGTGTGCCGAATTGGGTGTGCGTGACGCATGCGGGCGGCAGCACTGGGGCCTTCGGCGGAGCTCCCTATGGGGCCACGAAACGTGTGAGGGGTGTGCCGAATTGGGTGTGCGTGACGCATGCGGGCGGCAGCACTGGGGCCTTCGGCGGAGCTCCCTATGGGGCCACGAAACGTGTGAGGGGTGTGCCGAATTGGGTGTGCGTGACGCATGCGGGCGGCAGCACTGGGGCCTTCGGCGGAGCTCCCTATGGGGCCACGAAACGTGTGAGGGGTGTGCCGAATTGGGTGTGCGTGACGCATGCGGGCGGCAGCACTGGGGCCTTCGGTGGAGCTCCCTATGGGGCCACGAAACGTGTGAGGGGTGTGCCGAATTGGGTGTGCGTGACGCATGCGGGCGGCAGCACTGGGGCCTTCGGTGGAGCTCCCTATGGGGCCACGAAACGTGTGAGGGGTGTGCCGAATTGGGTGTGCGTGACGCATGCGGGCGGCAGCACTGGGGCCTTCGGCGGAGCTCCCTATGGGGCCACGACGTGTGAGGGGTACGAAGCAGGGAAACGTGTGGGGTGTGCCGAATTGGGTGTGCGTGACGCATGCGGGCGGCAGCACTGGGGCCTTCGGCGGAGCTCCCTATGGGGCCACGAAACGTGTGAGGGGTGTGCCGAATTGGGTGTGCGTGACGCATGCGGGCGGCAGCACTCGGGCCTTCGGCGGAGCTCCCTATGGAGGCCACGAAACGTGTGAGGGGTGTGCCGAAATGGAGGAGGGAGGAGGGAGGAGGGGGAGGAGGAGGAGAGGAGAGGAGAGGAGAGGAGAGGAGAGGAGAGGAGAGGAGAGGAGAGGAGAGGAGAGGAGAACGCGGGGCGACGTCTCTTCAAAACGAGGACCCAACACCACAGGATGGTTGGGAATAACAACGCCGCTAGAAAGCACGACCAACTCCCCCAACCCCATCTCTCTGCTGCATTCTTCGGGCTGATCGATCTGTGATGGCGCTGGGGGCCCCAAACCGCGCGAACGCACACACACACAGGGGGGGCGAGAACAGGGCACGGGGGAACAAACAACAATGCACAGCACAAACTTTCAGAGAGCCGCGCAGATTTCTGGGATCGTCGCTGGAGCCCCCCCTCCCTGGCGCGTGGAGCGCGCCATGGGCGGCGCCAGAGGCGCCGTCAGGGGTGGCCCAGCGCCGACTCAAAAATATCCGCGCGGACATCCGACAACCCATGTTTATGTCATCGTGCGTTTCTCTGGGCATCGTTTAACCGATCCCCATCCCGTCCAGCGTGGGCTAGGCCCCACTGGTCGATTTGCCCCCCTGGATGTGGATATAGGCTGCTCTCTTCGGGTTTCGAGGGGCATATCCCCAACTGAGGTGGTGAGACGGTGGGGCTCGAGATGTGGATGGGGATGGGGATAGGGATCGGTCAATCGATACTGACTCTCGATTGCGCTCAGATTCTCCGATGGCAAACCTCAGCGGAACGCGAGCGGAGGCCAACGATAGCAAGCCGCCGGCCACCTCGCCCTGAGCGCCCACAAGGAGCGCGGACGCCAGGAGCGGCCCCAGCGCCACAACCTGGCGCTCACCGCCATCTCCGGAGCCATGCCCGAGGTTCTTGGGGACTGGTGGATGTGGAGGCTTCCCCGCCCCTGCAGGGTGCGGGGGGCCGGGTACTATACAGTCAAAAACCCAAATAAGGACGCGCGGTAAGGACGCAAGACCCTTGAAAGCCGAAGTTGGGATTTTTGGGGCGGCGGACGACGAAAACCTCAAGGACGCAAGAGCAAGGACGAGCAAGGACACAAGGGTACCCTGAGCAAGGACGCGCGTCCTTCTTAGGGTTTTTGACTGTACTGGGATCAGCGCAGGGGTCGCTTTCATCAGTGGATGCCAAATGTGGGCGTTCCAGGTGGCCTAGGTAGATTAGAGAACTCCCCTTGGAAGAGATCGCTCACCCCCTAATCCACTTGGGGAACCTGCAACACACTTCGGGCGATTTCGGAAACCCTGAACTCAAAAACGTGTTCACCTCTTGGGCGTGCATCCTTTCCTTCCGCCGCCTTCCGCCGACCTTCCGCCGGCTTCCGCCAGCTTCCGCCGGCGGATGCGGCCTCGTTTTACTTCCGCCGACCTTCCGCCGCCTTCCGCCGCGGAATAGATGACAACTTCTTGCATCCTCGAAGGCAAGGCCCTTTTTGAAGCGCCCTACTTATGAGCTGGGTCAGGCCAGATACCATGCACCTCAGCACCCACTGAAACCCCTCCTATCCCCTCAGCACCCCCCGCGCCGATCCCAGTATGTCCGCACCAGCCGCTCATCGAAGCCCCGGCGCACGACCCCGAAGCGGTGGATGCGCGCGCATCTTCCTTGGCATCCTCCGTCGTGGCTCCCTTAAGAACTGCACCCAATCCCCCAGGACCGGCTTCTCATCCCGAGTAGTTCTTGCTGACAGTCCCGGGGGGGGCCGTTGACCGTTGAAGGCCACTGGAGTCCGGGCATGTGCGAAACACATCCAGTCGTGCTTCTTCCGCAACGAGATCGGGCACGCACTATGCAAGGTCAGCCAGGGCCACGTCGCGAACCCAGGCCCGCCGCGAAGCATCTCCTAAACCTGGGTCAGCGGAGGGCGGGGGATCGGAGTCGGCTCCAGGTGGCTCCCAAACCTGGGTCGGTCAGCCAGAGGGTCTTGGAGGGCATTGGCTGACCCCCGCTGGCGCTGACACCCGTTACGTGAGCCCCGACGCAAGGACATCAAACCATCTTCAGCGCAGGACCTTGGACGTGACCTCCTCTCCGCCCTCCGCCAGCAGCAGCAGCCGGGGCCCCGAAGCGCCCTTCACGCCCTCAAAGAGCCGTAGCGCCCCCTTCGCACCAGCCGTGGCCCACGTCGGCGCGCCCTCCTGGGGGGGCAACAGGGTGCTGATACCGTTTCTCCCCAAACCTCTCCCAGTTGAGCAGGGACCGACCGTCCCGGCATTCCTATAGGCCTTTCACGACATGTTCTGAGAACCCAGAAATTTTCCAAGAACCCAAAACATGTTCTTAGAACATTAACCCGATGTGTTAAAAGAAGACAGTCTCAGCCTGGAATGTTCTTAGAAGATTTCGTGCAAACCACGAAAGGTTCTTAGAACATTCTTTGGTATGCCTATAGGCGAGCCAGGACGCTTCGCCACTGCTTGACCCAAGGGGTGGGTTCTGACCACGATCTGGAAGCGACTCCAGCCATGGCGTCGAGGGAAGGGCACGCTGAGGGCACTGGATACACGTCGGTCATTTCTAATCGTGTTCATTTCTAATTGTGCACGTTTCAAATTGTTCCTGGCCCCCTTCGTGGCCAGGAAGAGGCCCAGGATAGAACATATAGAAATGAAATAATCTTGGCCCCCCAAGAAATCAAAGAACTTTCGAATAATTAGAAATGAACAGTGTGTAGGCGACCACTGGCTCAGGAATCCAGGGCCTGGAAGCCGCTGCAACTCCACTCGTGGATCGGCCATGGCTGCCACTGCCGCCCTCCCCTGAGAGGGGACCCCCCCGAGGTCTGCAGCCACCTGGGCACAGTCCGCAGCGAACGCCTCCGCCGTCGCGGGGCCGGTGTTGGGCGCCCGAGTTATCCGGGGTAACTCGGGTCCGGGGTAACTCGGGTTTGGATTCCCGAGAAAGGAACCCGAGTTAGCCCTGACCCGAGTTACCCCTGATGATTCGGGGCTCTAGACGCCAGAGTTATCCGGGGTAACTCGGGTCCGGGGTAACTCGGGTTTGGATTCCCGAAAAAGGAACCCGAGTTAGCCCTGACCCGAGTTACCCCTGATGATTCGGGGCTCTGACGGTGCCTCTTCCCCCTGTGACCTCCGAGCCGACGCCGCAGCCCCACACCGCGGCGCCGACGCCGCAGCAGCCGCCCAGGAGGTCCTCGGCCAGCTCCACCAGCGGCGCGGCGGCGCGCCGCGAGAGCACGCCGGCCAGCTCCTCCCAGCCCGCAGGCCACAGGCCGAGCCCGCCCCCGCGCGCCGTCGAGAGCGACATGCCCCCGGCCGGCGCCGGCACGCGCCCCGGGGGGGCGCGCGCGAGGGCGGAGGCCATCGGCTGGGCCAAGGAGAAGTCACGGACACGGAAGGGGTTAGGTTCAGGTCGGGCATGTCCCCCTAGAAGCGGAATTCTGACGAATGGTAAAGGATAAATGAAAAACAGGCGCAAGAATTGCCAGAACTCATAGGACAATCGTCCCCAGACTACTTGTTGACTGGTTTTGAAGATTCCTCCTGTAGAACAACGTGCCCGACTTAAGGTCAGTTGCGGTCGGAGCTTTTGCTCAGCGTGCCGCGGCGGCGGCCCTGGCGGCACGGAGTGCCTTGCACACGGGGGGCTCCGCTCTGCGGGGCGGGAAGCTAGGAATAGCTCGGGACGATGACGCCCGCGGACCAGGGCGTGCTTAGCGTGTCGCGCCGAAGCGTGGTGGGCCAGAACTGTCGGCGTGACACGCTAAACCCAAGATCCTGAATGTAGGAGGCAGCGCCCAAGAGGTTCTCGCAAGAAGGAATGAGGGCTGCTCTGCCAGACTACCGGGGCCACTGCGCCAGATGGGCCCAGAGGGGGCCCAGGATTGAGTCGGGCGAAGCGGGATTCAGCCAGGCTGTGCTTGATTGGGCTGGCTTTCGGTCACTGGTACACCAGCGCCGATGCTGCCGCAAGAACAAAGGGGTAGGTCGACAAAAACGCGGAGGAGCTGGGGTGGGGAGACGGAGCGTGACACGGGTACAGTCGGGGCGCTGACCTAAGGAACCCTAAATAAGGAACGAGGCTCCTTTTCTCCAGAAGTTAAACTTCGATTCCCCGTCGAAGACCTTGGGAAAACCTGAGGCAAGCTGTGAAACAATCAAGGAACACGGAGCCCCTCCCCAACGAAAAGGGTTCCTTCTTCAGGGCCCCGACTGCAGGCCGCGCGGGCACTCCGGACGAGCTCATCCACCGAGCCCCCCCGTGGGATTCCAGGGGTCTGGGCGAGCCAATACAGTCGGGGCGTTGACCTAAGGAACCCTAAATAAGGAACGATGCCCCTTTTTTTCCACAAGTTGAACTTCGATTTCCCATCCCAAACCAAAGGAAAACCCAAGGCAAGCTGCGAAACAAATAAGGAACACGGAGCCCCTCCCCAACGAAAAGGGTTCCTTCTTCAGGGCCCCGACTGTAGAGGACCCTCTCTGAACGACAGTTTGAGAACGGCAACTTCCGGGCCTGCTTCCGAGGAGGACGACGAGGAGGAGGAGACAGATGACAGAAAGGCTTGGGGCTTGGGCAGCAGGGCGGATAATTCAATTCGGCATGATGAGCCCGTCGAAATGGCAACGTATCTGCAAGAGCGGGAGCAAGAGGAGCCCCGAAATCCGAGATTGCGAAAAGCAGCACAGCCTCGTCCGACAAGTCACGGCAAGCGCTCCCGTCCACATCTCTGTGGGTCCTTGCGTGCTTCGCGCCGCATCGATCAGCGAGGATGCCCACGGCCATGACATCGAGGCCACAAGCACAGGTGCCATGCCTTGCTACACGCGCCCAGAGCTCTGGAAATGCGCGGGGGGCGAGGACGACCACGACGAGCCTCCAGCATGGTTTCGTCGCTCTCGGACGGCGTCTTCTCCCCGTCGGTGACGTGAGCCGCCGTCCTCATGAAGAAATTGCGTTGTCTGCAACGCCCAGGGCCCAGAGAAGGTCGGCATGCAGCCTAAACATTCCTCGTCCTCCATACCCCTATTCTCTTCCTGCCCCTCTCCTCCTCCCTCGCCCATCCATCTCCTTCCCCGAGGAGGAGGGGGAGGAGGAAAAGGGTACAGGTTTTAGGGATGGGGGCTTCTAATAGAATGGGGGGGAACAGATCGTGCTTCTCTATCTCCGCATCTCCTCCTCCCCTGCTCTTTCTCTTGTCCTTCGTGCTTCCGGGCCAGCATGCATGTATTAGGTGGGTGCGCTGCTAGACATACATCCAAGCGGTAAAACTTTCTAAATCGCACCAGCCCTCTGGGCAGATGTTGTTCAGGGAGGCTCCTCTGCCCGTCTCCCTTCCTCCCTTTCGGGGAGGGGTTTCACCACTGCCCCTTATTGATGTACACCCCCTCCCCCACCCGAACGGCGAAAAAAACCGGGACGATGAGGGCAACCCCTCGCCATCCCTGTCAAACGAACCATACAAATTATGCATGGCGGCAACAAACAACAACTGGACCGCGCGCGGGCGTCCCGTGAGCACTTGTCGTTGTTCTTTGGCAGGGGCGGTGGGGGTGCCCTCACATTGCCCGCCCTGTGCCAACCCACCACGCCTGTCAAAATTCAAAGCAACATGCCCTTTTCGAGAACAGCAAAAACTGAAACGTGCGCGGGCGCCCCCCGAGCACTTTGCGCTGGCTTTTGCTGTGCGTTCAACATGTCCGCCCTGCGCAGGCCCACCACGCCTGCCAACACACAGTGCAAAAAACGGTGTGTGCGTGTGAGTGTGTGAATATGTGTGTGTCTGTGTGAGTGTGTGTGTGTGTGCGTGTGTGTGCGTGCGAGCGTGCGTGCGTGTGAATGTGTGCGTGTGTGGCGGAAGCTGATTCATGCGTGGGGGCCCCGCGTTTTTCACACAGAGGCGGCGGGGGGGGCCCTCAAACTGGCTGCCCTGTGCAGGCTTACGATCCTTGACAAAATCTCGGAAAGCGCACCCTGCAGCAACATCTGAATCATGCGCGGGCGCCCCGCCATTACTTTGCAATGGTGTTTGACAAGGACGGCGGGGGTGCCCTTATCAGAAGGAGGAGGCCGAACGGTCATTCATTTTCCCTGGGTGCGTGGCTGAAGTGGGTTTCCGCGGTGCGTGTTGCTGTTGCTGGTGCTGGTGGAGGTGGTTTTGTTGTTGTTGTGGTGGTGGTGGTTGTTGTTGAATTCGCAGTTCTAAACAACACCCCCCTACGGTAACCATTGTTCTTCGAGTGACGTGATGCCCACGGGGCTCGCATCTTGCTTTCTACATTGGCAAATGACACGATGCCAAACTGTATTGTTGGGCCCCGGATCACAACAGCAACAACAACAACTCCCGCCTTATACTTCCTCACAACGTATTCCTAAATCGCGCTCACGCACAATTTATACAAGGATCGCGCTGTGGCGTGGGATTTCCTCGCACTGTATTCAGACGCCGCACCCTCGACACTCAAGAATCACGCTCTCGCAATGGCCCCCCCCCACCCCACGATTTACTCGGGAATCGCACTGTCGCTTAAAATTTCCTGACGATTCAAACAAGACGCACGCTTCAGCAACCGGCCTGCCCGGTCCCTTCCTTCCATCCGTGTTCGCCTCGCCTGCCTTAAGGGATGCACGAAATACACGTTGCACGTGATAGAGAATCTAGCCATAAGAGAGCATCGTCGACGACGAAGAGGGCGGGTATCGAGGGTTTGAAATATACGAGATAATTGCACGCGAACAGGCAAGGGCGAACAACATTGAAATGATTGCTGTTGTTGCTGTTGTTGACGCTTCATTTCTAAAACTAACTATTGTGTACACCCCCTTCGGCATCATTTCTTCATGTAAAGTGATTCTTCCAGGACAGCTACCAAACTGAGTTGACTTCCTCGCAATGTATTCAGACGCCGCGCCGTCGACACTCAGGAATCACGCTCTCGCTTTAACTTCCCCCTCGTCTTCCTCGGAAATCGCGCTATCGCTCGAGACTTCCTCGCGATCCAGGCTTGGCGCACGCTTCAGCAGCCCGCCTGCTCGACCTGGCAGCCAGGGCCCGCCTTCCCGACCCGCCCGTTAGAGTCTACCCGCCCGATCTGCCCGTCTGGTTCTGCCACGTGTTTTCTGCTCCTCGACACCTTGTTTCTACGTTTCTGCTGTGCCCCATCCTCCTCCCTTCCCCTTGTCCCTTCCTTCCATTTGTCCTCTCGGCCCCTGCCTTCGAGGCTGCACGAAATACGCGTTGCAATAATGAAGTGTGTGTGTGTATATATATGTATATATATATATGTACCCCCCAAAATATAAGATCGAAGACGAAGAAGGCGGGTATCCAGGGTTTGGGGTGTACGTGTCGAGTGTCCCGCGGGTAGACTAGGGCGATCAGTCTAAATCGATTGTTTTTTGTTGAAATCTCACTGCTAGAGAACAGGGTATTGTTGATCCCCCTCTGCGCGGTAACCATTCGATGTATCAATTAGACTGTTTCTCCTGGGCTCGCACCTGGGTTTTGTTACAGCAAGCCTGGGCTCGCACCTGGTTTTTTAGAGCAAGAAAAGCTTGGTGACACCAAACTGCGTTGTTGGGCCCCGACCTACGACAACAACAACAACAACGGCTCCTGTCGGATTCTTCCTCACAATGTATTCCCAAATCGCGCTCTCGCGCGGGATTTCCCCACCGCACCCTCGACGCTCAGGGCACCCTCGACGCTCAGGAGTCACGCTCTCGTTATTTATATCCGCACGATGTATTTGGAACCGCGCTATCGCTCGAACTTTCCTCGCGATGCATACAGGACGCACGCTTCAACAACCCGCCTGCCCCTTGTCCCTTGCTTCCATCGGTCCTCTCTTCCCCTGCCTTCGTGGCTGTACGAAATACATGCTGCATGCAAGCAAATTGCCCGTAATGGGGGCACCATCGAAACAACGAAAAAGTGGGTGGGCATCGAGGGTTTAGGATATACGTTTTAAAGGGCATCATACAAGAGCGAACAGTCTTGAAATGATGTCAATGGTTTCTGGTGTTGTTGATGTTGTCGTTGCCGCTGTCGAACTCTCATCCCTAACAAGTAAGAATGGTTGTCATTGTCGAATCCCCCCTTCAAGCGACCATTGCATTTTTCGATGATGGTGTTCCTCCCGGGGCTCGCGCAACAACAGCAACATCAACGGCTCCCGCCTGATACTTCCTGGCAATGTATTCCCGTGGGATTTCCTCGACATGTATTGGAACGCCGCGCTCCCGACACTCGAGAATCACGCTCTCGCCTTGGTCTTTCTCACGACTTACTTGGGAATCGCGCTATCGCTCGAAACTTCCGCGCGATTCATGCAGGACGCCCGCTTTAGCAACCCGCCTGCCCCAC